CCAATCAGCAGTGTCACATATCCAAGATTTTGGAGATGCCACCACGTCTCCCGATGGAGATGCCGCATCTCGCGCGAGAGGTGTGGGTGTGGGTGTGGGGGATGCGCATCTCCAAAGGAGATCTTACATCTCCAGTGGTGAATGACCACATCTCTCGAGTGTGGGTGTCGCATCTCCCGTTGGAGACGCGGCATCTTCCACGGGAGATGTGGTGGCATCTCCAAAATCTTGGATATGTGACACTACTCAAAAAAACATATATACCTCATTTAGTTTACATATTGATTTAATAATAGATATTAATACAATTCCATTTCAGCTAAAATGTATAGATGATAATCTTATTTTTAATTCAATGAAAAATGGTTGATGGACTGATGAAATAAAATTAATAACAAATCCTTTAATTCTTAATTCAACATTTACTATAGATATTATAATTGATATAAATGAAAAATATAAGGTAAATAGATATTAAAAAAAAACAAATTTTTTTTAAAAATTAGTTTGATTCGATTTTTAACGTTACTTTTAATGGATGTATTTCTACTAAAATTGACAAACGTCAATCATTAGAAAATGTAAAAGAACTTCACATTTATAGAGATCTTAATCTTAAATCAGCTAAAATTATTCATGCAGTGAAAGAAGGTAAAATATTCAAATATTGTCTGTTTTTTTGTTTTCTTTAATTTTAATTATTATAAATCCTTTTTTTTCTTGTTTCAAATAATAGAAGATAATTCAAAGAAAACATTAATTATTGGAATAGTAATTACAATTGCTTTATTACTTATAACTGGAATGAGTATTTTATATATTTTACGACGATATTGTGCAGATTAATCTTCTAAAATTGCATCAAAAAATGTTCATGATTTAACTATAGACAGTTTAAAAAGTCATACAAGTAATAAAATAGACGATCATTCAAATATTACTTATTTTTAACAGACAATAGATTTCTTTATTAATAAATCAATAATAAATATTTTATATAATTAATTTAATCAAATAAATTCGCATTCTAAAATTGAACACAAATTTGATTATCATTGATTAAAATTCCATAATTAAATTCTTCTGTTGATTTTATTTTTGTTTTTTAATAAAAACTAAATGAAAGTTATCGATACAAACAATGTCAATCTAAATTTTCCTTTGAAGAATAATGTACCACTTTGAGATAATATATGAAAATCTCTAGCAAAAGAGTTTAATATAGTGGCGGAGCCAGGAAAATTTTCTGGGGGGGGGGGGGGGGGGGCTCAGCCCCGTAACTGTTTAGGGGGTATTCACATACTACATCATCACTTTTTTACTATTTTTAGACTCCTCCCCTCTGTCATCACCTGTCATTTTTCTGAGACTCCCCCCTCCCCGATGACGTCATCTAAGTAGTTTTTCTTGAGTTATCGCTTCCAAGTCATAATTTTTTTGATAAAATGTTCTGAAATTTGTATGCGAATACCAGGTCGGTTGAGGCGTGTTTGTTGTTGTGGGTGTTGCTGAGTATCGTTCTTCGAAGTAGGAACATCCAAACCCACACTTGCGCTCAAACCAACACTCTTACTCTTATTCGCTGTCTCGTGAGACACTGCATACTGAGAATATAAGTTTGAAATTTTTGTTTTGTTCTGCACAAAGTAACACTAGCTAACAAAACAATGATAACATCTTTGTTTTGTCGTTTATCTTTTCCTGTCGAATTATTATTCGGCTAAATTTTCGAATTCAGCATACAAATAAATGCGGAAACTTCGGATTTAAATCCGAGAGTTATGTGTACTTCAAAAAGTGAATCATAAATATCAATCATCCTAGACTATCTGAGTATCAAAATTATACTGAGAAATCTACCATTTAAAATGTTGATTTCTATTGCGCGTTGCCAAACCAATAGGACATGGGACCGAATACAGCTCAAGTTTGAACTCTTTCCCTTGATTTACCCTAAGAAAGTCGTTTTTCCTATAACTTCATTTCTATTGGTCACTGCACAACTAATAGTATTTCGATGGAAGTGCAGTACACATTCGAGTTCTCCATATCTGACAATCTCGAAGTATCATCAGTGTGACCGGAAGATAAAGCTCTATTTGTGGATCAATTAGATCGTGGACCAAAATATAACCTAGTTCTCTTTAATTATCCTTGTCTTAGGTAAGTCAACCTTCTTGTTTCTTTATGTTTTATATATCATTTTGTAGTTCTTGAAATTCTCTATCGAATGGTATATAATAGTTGGGGTTTTAATTGACTATGATAGGAAAAGTCTTTTACGAAAGTCGCGATGGGTCCATTATTTTCCACAGAAAGCTGTAGGGAAAAATGGGTATTTTTGCAATAACACAGGAACGGCTCGGCCGGTCCTTCTCATCTTGGAACTCGACCGAGACATTGTCAAGACTAAGCTGTGTAGAAAGTTTTATCGCAATCTGACTCGGCTGTCAAAAGTTATCATATAAAAATCCAATCGGACGGACGGACACACTGACTATTCTATAGTGTACTCACTTTTTGAGCACACAAAACTATGATTCGGTTCAAAACTAATATCAGATTCAGAATCAGCGTTAAAAACTGGGTCGATTTATGTATTTTGTGAATAATTATGAGCAAAAAATTTTTTTCTAAAAATCTCCGTACCCCCCCCCCCCCCTTCTCTCAGGGATAGTCTGGTCAAAAATCACAATTTTTTCGATAACTTAGCCATTTCTTGACGGATCCTTCTCATCTTCGAACTCGACCGAGATATTGTAAAGACTGAACTGTATAGAAAATCTCATCGTGATCGGACTCTCCTTTCGAAAGTTATCATGTAAACGGCCGGACATACTGACCGATTCTAGAGTGTACTCACTTTTTGAGTACACAAAAACAGTGGATACATGAACAGTTGAAGCACATTCTCACCCACACCCACACCCAAAAAAAAACAAATTTAAGAATATTTCACTGAGCAATAATCTAATCTAAATGTCAAGTATTTGACAAAATGAAGTGAGCATTGTTGAAAGCGGTGTTGGTAATTGAGCACATACTCTAATGTCAGTTTCGACTAAGTCATCCAAACTTTATTCATATTTTTTCGTAAAAAAGATCCAAAACAAAACATTTTCATGAATAATATCATATAAGGTAGAAATTTATTTCTTCAAAG